ACTTAGGGATCATCAGGCTGGATTCCGTAAGGATCGGTCGTGCACAGACCAGATTGCGACACTACGGATCATCGTTGAACAATCAGTTGAGTGGAACTCATCACTATACGTCAACTTCATTGACTATGAGAAGGCGTTTGACAGCGTGGACAGGAGAACATTATGGAAACTTCTTCGACACTATGGAGTTCCTCAGAAGATCGTCAACATTATCCAAAACTCATACGATGGACTACAGTGCAAAGTGGTGCATGGAGGACAGCTAACAGATGCATTTCCAGTAAGGGCCGGAGTCAGACAAGGTTGTCTAATCTCCCCATTCCTCTTCCTTCTAGTGATTGACTGGATTATGAAGAACTCAACATCTGACGGGAAATACGGAATACAATGGACTTCTCAGAATCAATTAGATGATTTGGACTTCGCAGATGACCTAGCCCTTCTCTCATACACACGAACAAATGCAGATGAAGACAGCAAATGTAGCAGCAGCCTCCGCATCGATAGGCCTCCACATTCACAAAGGAAAAAGCAAGATTCTCAAATACAACACGGAGAACACCGACAAAACCAATCACATTTGATGGCGAAACTCTGGAAGAGGTGGAAACATTCACGTACCTGGGAAGCATCGTTGATAAACAAGGAGGATCGGATGCAGATGTAAGGGCGAGGATTGGCAAAGCAAGGGCAGTATTCCTACAATTGAAGAACATATAGAACTCAAAACAACTGTCAACTAATTTCAAAGTCAGAATCTTCAATACGAACTTGAAGACAGTCCTACTGTACGGAGCTGAAACGTGGAGAACTACTACGACCATGATCAGGGAGGTACAAGTATTTGTAAACAGTTGTCTACACAAAATACTCAACATCTATTGGCTGGATATTATCAGCAACAGCGTTTTATGGGAGAGGACAAACCATCTTCCACCTGAAGAGGAAATTAGGAAAAGACATTGGAAGTGGATTGGACATACATTAAGAAAATCACCAATGTGCATCACGACTCAATCCCCAACCTGGAATCCGGAAGGGAAGCGGAAAAGAGGAAGACCAAAGCACACACTACGCCGAGAAATAGAATTAGATATGAAAAGGATGAATAGCAACTGGAAAGAACTGGAAAGGAAGGCTCAAGACAGAGTTGGATGGAGAATGCTGGAGAGCGGCCTATGCTCCTCGACGAGGGATAGCAGGCGTAAGTAAGTAATTTTGCTGTTGCAATAAGGTTTTCAGATTATCCATTTTATTGTTAAAAATATGTAGGCGTAGATCAGTTTTAATCACCCTCGTCAATTGTTATAAACGTAAGGATACTGTTATAACGCTGGGATTTCTTGTTATAACAGTCCTTTCACTTTTTACACGTATATGGGACGTTAATTTACCTTAGACGAATATCTACACTAGATTCCCACCCAGTGTCTGTTTTACAGGACTTCAACACAACTCAAATCAAGAACACGAGATTAGCCTGACTATAACGTCAATATATTTACACACCAAAATCCGACGCAAAGAACAGTCAATCAATAACAGTCCATCAATAACTGTCAATACATAATAAGGATATGGGAATAAATATAACACATATAACACCTGTCATTCTATCTAATGTCTGACTCATCAAGACAACCAATCATTGTCATTCTCGCTCTCGCATCAATGAATTTATCTATAATTGTTCACCAGGACTGGTGAAAGATTTAATCTTCACTGCGTACCACTCCTTAACACTGAACCTTTCGCATTTGCGTCAAACAGAATTCGTTTGAGATGTGTAGATGAGAATTCTACTGTTTTCAGAAGGTGAGAATGAACAACGGCATAAAGTTTCAGTCGGTTGGCAATACACAACTCTGTTGAGCTATCCGGTTTTATGTACGTGACCTGATTGAGGAAGGTAGTAAGATTATGAATATTACTATAAAACTCTTCCCATATATCCACTCACAATATGTATTCATGTTTCTGTATCGAAAAATGAAGAGGGTGGATTGGTTTGAGAAGTTTCACTAATGTGAATGTGGGAATATTAGAGTGAGTAATGTAGATCTTCCCCCGTTGTGGAATTTTCTGTTCGGATAACTGGCCTATCATTCTATGTTAAAATTTCGAAACGTTCAATACGTCCAAGTAGGGTAGTTGTGTTCAGTCCGATTTACACTATATTAGTATACTTTCCTGAATATCCTAATTTCCAGAAGGACGGACGAGTATCTACAAGGCAATATTTTCTCCCTACACACATACTGACCAACATCGTTCGTTCTCATAGCCTCCCACCTCTTCATTACACAATGAATCTTGTTCAGTGAATCAGACACAAGACTAGAGTATTATGCCCTGATGATAGTGTAGACTGATGATTACATAAAAAAACGAACTCACCATTGAATAACCGATATCCAAACTAATTCATCAACTGTTATTCCTCGGGATCGAGAAATGAGGAAAACGTAAACACTGTCAGTTAAAAAACACTTTCTGAGACCTGATTGTAGGGTGGACATGGTGGGTGACATTTCGACAAGTCGACTTGAAAGATAGATCGAGTGGTGGTTTGAGACTGTCAAGTTTCATGTCACCTTGCTGGTACAGTGTCCCGTTCTCAATTTTTAGATAATGAATACGACATCGAAATAGAAGAAGCATTCTTGTTTTTGCATAGTCTACTGTAAAGAGTAATATTAGTACTCGTTTACATCTCTGAAGCTACCAGAAAAGTAATTCCTCCATGTGATTGACGAAAATATGTGGATATGTTGTCCGTGACACAATGAGGTAAATCATTAGCACTAAAAAATCGACAGTCTAATCGTTCACGGAGGAGATGGACTACGAGCAAGTTGAGCTTTGAAGATGGATGCAACTTTGTAAACAGACTAGGGGGATGACGAATTACAAGCAATACGAGTACGGTGTTCATTAGTTCTCGTTTGGCTATTTGTTAGACTGGTTATGGGCGCTCAACAATTTATGCTCGAAATCCACAAATGGCAGATACTCAACCATCAATTTCACCTACAGCTAAATCCCCCACTAAATATATTGAGATGTGTTAATGAACTGAAAGATTTAATTTGGATAGGTTAATAAGAAGACACAGCTTATCAAGATTATGTGATATATTAGCGCAATACATTTCAAACAATCTGATCACACATATACTGTTTCAAAACATTTATATATAACAATAAAACTGTCAACCAGACGAATGGAGGTTAATAGGAGTCAAAGACGATAAAATAAATATGAAAAAGCGATTTGAAAACTCATCACTCTGAATAATATGCTAACATTACCAGGGTAGGTTTAGGTTGATAACAAACTAATTTTAAATACATGAAGGGGGTTTGAATTTTCCTATGGTTAAGGCTCCAATAAACCTTAGCATACGCTGTTTAACGCTTTTGTACAACATCACAAACTCTGTGTTAAGATCAATCTAATAACCTCTTTCAACTAAATATTAGGCAATAGAAGATGATGGATGTTTATCATCTACTCTTATGGGATCAATTGATTTTATTTGTTTCCGCAACCATTTAGGCACATGTTCAGATACCCTAATTTACAGTTCATGATTACGCCTCCCTGTTTGTGTGTGACCACATGCACACATACACACATTTAAATTGATAAAAACAGTGGGGCATGACCCAATGGCTTTCATTTCTTCTAGGTTTTGGTGAAGCATGGACGTTGTTTCTTCCCTGATAATGACCTTTCATGTATAGCACGTTTTGTTAAGAACTGATTTAATCCTTTGTTTCAATAAAAGGATATTTAAATCACCTCTAACCGGTAAGGTGATGTAGACATGCATTTTTGTGCCACGGCTATAATAGGCCTCACTATACCACCACCTTCCCATCTAGTTATGAATTTTAACGGATAACCATTTTTCATTGGTGTTTTGTTCAACAGCCTAACGTCGTCATCAATATCGTCCTTTGTGTGAATACTATTAATCCTGTTAAATGGGCCTCTTATCAAACCCCGTTTGTATTGCACTGAGCAGTAACTATAATAACTAAGATATTGGCCTGTCCAATTTGGCTTTCTAAAACTGGATCGTTCGATTGAACCGTCTTCTCGTCTACTTATAAGTATATCTGAGAAAGGAAGCTGGTCGTTCTTCTCCTCTTCGCATAAAAGACTGATGCAGTTTTGATGAAAGTTCAGTTTATTCAATAAACAATTGATATCGTCCTCTCATTCACAGATAATTATGATACCATCCACGTATCTCTTATAAAGGAACACGAATTCGACTAGGTCTTCAGCCACATTTACAGTATATGCCATGAACACATCTGCTGATAAACAATCTAGACGGTCGGGTGAAGTGGAGTAGATGGAGAATGACTAACAATGGAATGTAGGATGGACATCGGCTGAATGTAGCTTCATTCCAGAATTGATGTTCATCCGCAGGTCAAACCTCTTACCGTTCGCTTAAGACATCAACCACTCAGTTATTAAGTCAACAATTCCACTCACCTATGCAACCGTGTGAGATTAAATTCGATTTGAAATGGTTCGGATTATCCTGTTGTTGATATTTTGGTTGAAATTTGATCAGTCTTGGTCGGTATATGGTTATCTTGTGTAGATTGCCTCCACCAAACTGACGAGTCCTAAGTTGAACGAAATGCGTGTCCTGAATTCCACTACTAGTCACATTTCACCTATCCTATATTAGTTTGTGTCATAATGGCTATATCGAGGCAATCCTCACACAATGTATATGTGTCAACCAAGACTGGTCAAATTACAGCCTAAAATACCAACAACCTGATAATCCAAACTAACGCAAATCGCACTATTCAGTAAATTGATATGTACATTTTCCTTTACTTATGAGGTCACGACAGTGAGGCATGGCACTCACTTGTCTACTAACACAACGTACTTCTCAATACTTCGAAACATCACAGAAACTAACGTCCGTTCATCACACAATACAAAACGTATATGGAAAACACTATTTAGAATGAATAGGTTTTATTCATCTCGAATTCAAACACGACTATATTACAGTGAGTTGAATTGAGAGGTGTGTAAAAAAAATAGGACAGTGGAGAGTGTGACACAAACAAATTAGAATCATCCACAACTCAACTGGTGCCTCAGTAACTGCTTCCATAATGGTTGGGTTTGTAAGCGCCACCTTTGCCGCCTTTGCCACCTTTGCCACCACCCTTACCCTTACCGCTACCACCTCCATAAACCTTTCCATAATTGTTGCCTTTACTACCACCTTTTCCATAGCCGTTGCCACCGTTACCATAATCACCGCCATAGGGAGCAGGGAAGGCATCATCGTAGCCACCTCCACAATTGCCACCACTGCAACCACCACCATAGCCACCACCGTAATTACCACAATCTCCACCATTGCAATCACCACCATAGCCACCACCGTAATTACCACAATCTCCACCACTGCAACCTCCACCATAGCCGCCACCATAGCCACCACCATAGCCACCGCCACATTCACTGCCAGTACAGCCTCCACCATATCCACTATCGCCATAACCGCTATCACAATCGCTACCATAGCAACCGCCACCGTACCCACCCGAATAGTCACGTGATGTGGTGTGGGCGGTGGCGTAACCAATGGCTACTAAGAAGACGAGTGTGAGTGACTGTTTCATTTTCCAAATTGTTGGTGTTGTTGCACTGGGTGTGATGATATGTAGACTAGTGTGATTTATCATTTATATATTGTTTTTGATTATAGATTTGAAGAGTTGTGCCTCACTAAGTGCATCATTATTCAATACATATTACGCTTGTGCACTCTACTGTTGAACTGCCTTTTGTGTAATCGTTAATGATAGTTGAGCGTGATAGTTAAAAATATCAATGAAACAGTTAGTTCACGAATTACTCACTATTTTGATTCTACCGTTAGAATTCGTTAGCATGTGGATCATCGAAACCGTTGATTAAGTCGTCATTGAATGAGACGAAACTCTTTTTGATGACACTGACAAGTGATGTTTCTCTTGACATACAAGTTATAACTAAACAGGTTAAATGAACGTTTATTTGAATTTAACTTGTTGACCTCATAGACGATGTTGTAACGACCTTAAATAAGGGATATCTGGCAGCAAACAATCAATTCTCCATATTGTCATATTTCATCCATGACAATACCGATTTAGATAGTAGACGAGACACTAGTACTAAAAACACTCCGTTTGTTCAGGCTAATTCCTCTCAAGGAGGTGTCATATGTCAGTAATTTAGGGACAACAAGGTGAAATCATTATTGGATGACCATAAGACAAGCCAGTTTTTATTTCAGATTGTAACTCATAATTTGTATTCGATTAACATAGTTTATCCAACATCCTGACAGAAGGTCAAGTTCAAGATAAAAGATATCCTAAATAGCGTGTTAGTCGGGAGTCGTGGTGTCGGGACCCGATGCTTTGCACACTATCATTGATATATTCTCATTGTTCGGACAAATAGAGTTTGTTTCGATAGTGTGAGTGGCACTTAACTACTTTCAACATTCATCTTACTCAAAACTGCAAAAGTGAAGTGAACACTTTTAGCCAACTCCATTGTCTCTCACTCATAATTTGTTTTTGCATGATTAAGATGACGTTGTTCAGTAGTGGATTCCCGTGTTTCAGTATTATGCAGAACCGTTTCAATTCTCATAATTGATTCATTGTGTTAGTAGCTGAAACCTGAATAGATACTTACTCACGTATTGTTGACTGCGAATTGTTGAAGTATTTGCAAATCAAGTTGGAATTGTCTGTAATGGCTTATGAACAGAAGAATCTCATAAAACAAATGAAAAAGCAAATGAACTCCTTGTATCAATCACTCACTACCTTTTGAGTGAACATGAGGAATATATGAAATCTTCTACTTGCGTTAGTCAGACCACATATGAAAAGTTTGAATATGGATAGTGACGAAGTTGCACCCATAATGCCCAACTGTGCTTCCATTTCTATTCGTGTGTGAGATAAGCTGTGTTGGCAAGTTGATTTACAGTCAGATATTCTGAAGTTTACTGCATCAACTCATCAAAGCTTTCGAATAAACCTCACAACACTCTGAGTGCACAATGTATTAAGTTCATCAGTGACAAATACGTTTATTACACACCTTGATTGGTATTCATGATAACAGTGTGTTTGTTAAATTCACATATATATAGCTTCGAAGTGGATGTGGTGAATACACTTACAGATTAATAGAATGTGTTCTCGGATAATGACATTCTTAATTGCCATAACCCTTATTTCATTTATTTCAATCATGAAACAATCAGTGAACGTAATAGAATCTAATATTGAATGAATTAGGTTATAACATGTAAGAATGGTTGTAAACCTGTGTTTGCTAATTAAATGACCAGTTAGCATTATACCATTCATTTAGTTTCATCTGATTTATACGGGTACATTGATGAACGTCGGCAAAGAGCACTATTACGATTGTTATTGACTGTCGACTTGTGTCCAACATGAATACGTAGTCTGGAAAATTATCATGTGTGTTTCGATAATAAATCCAGTAGAACTAATTATACTACAAGGCTTGCAATGTGCAAATCCTGTTGAAGAATTTGAGTAGGACAATTTACTGAATGGGGTATTAGTAAAAGAATTGGTAATAGTAACAAAAGAAGTAGGAGTGTTAGTGGTGGTAATAGCCGTTGTCGTCGTGGTAGTAGCATTACTAGTAGTGTGAGTATTGGTGGTAGTGTGAGTGTGAATATGAGTAGTAGTAGTAGTAGTGGTAGTAGTGGTAGTAGTAGTAGTAGTAATATTGTGAATATTATTCGTCATAATGTTAGTAGTAGTATTGTTTCTTCTTTCTGTTCTGCCAATAATGCTCCTTTGTCAGGTGCACCTAGATTTATGAATACAGTTTGCTGTATCATGAAAAGAGTCCTTTGTCAACCTTTGATTGGATTATTGAATACGTTGTTTTTATACAGAATTAATAATTTGACTGCCGGATACGTCCTGGCTAATGCTGTGTTAAGCCTCCTTCTCGTTTCATTTGTGACGTCATCACTTTTAAAGTTGAGATTTATAGACATCGGTTTCTTACTAACTGTAGGCATTTTCATCTGGTTTCCCTTAGGATTTTTATATTTTTCGATAAATTTCTATAGGTAACAGTTGTCTCTTCGACATTTTTCAACGTTCATCAGTTCTTCCAGTTTGTCGGCGGTACATTTCCTTTCTACCCTATTAAATAAAATTGCTCGGAGTCCATAACTCCAATGTGGACAATAATAAACACTATATGCATAGATTGTAGTTTTTCAACTCTTCGTTCTAAAACAAATTTGTTTGTCGGTTGCAGTGTGTATGATCATTTCAATGATCGATTTCGTTGCACTCAATTCTACTGTACCTGACAGGTCAGTTCATGAATTTATCTATGATTGCTCACCAGGACTGGTGAAAGATTTAATCTTCACTGAACCTTTCGCATTTGCTTCAAACAGATTTCGTTTGAGATGTGTAGATGAGAATTCTACTGTTTTCAGAAGGTGAGAATGAACAACGGCATAAAGTTTCAGTCGGTTGGCAATACACAACTCTGTTGAGCTATCCGGTTTTATGTACGTGACCTGATTGAGGAAGGTAGTAAGATTATGAAGTTTTATTTTCCATTATTGTTTAACATACAACAGCTAATATCTAATAATTTATGATTTCATTCTAATTCGTTGTACAGATTGTCTTTCAATATAGCCGTACATGAAAGTAGATCAGTTGAGGCAAGAAAATAATCTACCATCTGAACTCAAGTTGATTGATAAATGAATCTGAAAATAGTACTAACTGTTTGAAAATCGGACCCCATATTTGACGAGGTATTAGAGAAAATCAATGATCATGTATTCATGTGGAGTATGCGAATATTATTTGGATACCAAGTTGTGTTGTTTGATTTATATTCAGGTGGTTCAATATGTTGTTGAATCTCATTCCGTTGTGTACAACAAAGAGAGTTTAATCTACCACTATTATTCGCGTAAATGCACAAGGCAATCTTCAAATGAGATGTAATGTTAGCTAAAACACATCACCATTATTTCACATCGTTGATACACGACATTAATTGGTGCATAAAAAGCCTCAAAAAGTGTCAACAGACAGGAAATACTGAAACTACTTCATTTCCATACGTCAACTCATCCTGATAATTTTGAAGAAGACAAACAACAGTGAACATTTCAGTTTATCTAAGCCATCATCGCTCACATGGGACTGATTAGAGATATCTTCTATTGTGGAATGAGGTGTTTTTGGATGGATCGTTGACTGATTTCAGTTAGACAACGGTAACCAATCTCGAAGCACTGAACATCTGTTATAGCCTAGTAAGGAACTTGTTAGAAGTGTGCACACATCACCATGACAAGGATAGAAACCTTCATCTTTGTGTTGATATGGCGAATGGCTTACCCTAGATACACTGAGTTGCAATCGAACATTGTACGGTTGAATTGAATAAGGGATTCGTTCATTTTTGTACAACGTGTTGAGTCATGCAATTTTACGAATATTACTCTGCAACTCTTCCCATATATCCACTCACAGTATGTATTCATGTTTCTGTATCGAAAAATGAAGAGGGTGGATTGGTTTGAGAAGTTTCACTAATGTGAATGTGGGAATATTAGAGTGAGTAATGTAGATCTTCCCCCGTTGTGGAATTTTCTGTTCGGATAACTGGCCTATCATTCTATGTTAAAATTTCGAAACGTTCAATACGTCCAAGTAGGGTAGTTGTGTTCAGTCCGATTTACACTATATTAGTATACTTTCCTGAATATCCTAATTTCCAGAAGGACGGACGAGTATCTACAAGGCAATATTTTCTCCCTACACACATACTGACCAACATCGTTCGTTCTCATAGCCTCCCACCTCTTCATTACACAATGAATCTTGTTCAGTGAATCAGTCAAATGACTAGAGTATTATGCCCTGATGATAGTGTAGACTGATGATTACATAAAAAAACGAACTCACCATTGAATAACCGATATCCAAACTGATTCATCAACTGTTATTCCTCGGGATCGAGAAATGAGGAAAACGTAAACACTGTCAGTTAAAAAACACTTTCTGAGACCTGATTGTAGGGTGGACATGGTGGGTGACATTTCGACAAGTCGACTTGAAAGATAGATCGAGTGGTGGTTTGAGACTGTCAAGTTTCATGTCACCTTGCTGGTACAGTGTCCCGTTCTCAATTTTTAGATAATGAATACGACATCGAAATAGAAGAAGCATTCTTGTTTTTGCATAGTCTACTGTAAAGAGTAATATTAGTACTCGTTTACATCTCTGAAGCTACCAGAAAAGTAATTCCTCCATGTGATTGACGAAAATATGTGGATATGTTGTCCGTGACACAATGAGGTAAATCATTAGCACTAAAAAATCGACAGTCTAATCGTTCACGGAGGAGATGGACTACGAGCAAGTTGAGCTTTGAAGATGGATGCAACCTTGTAAACAGACTAGGGGGATGACGAATTACAAGCAATACGAGTACGGTGTTCATTAGTTCTCGTTTGGCTATTTGTTAGACTGGTTATGGGCGCTCAACAATTTATGCTCGAAATCCACAAATGGCAGATACTCAACCATCAATTTCACCTACAGCTAAATCCCCCACTAAATATATTGAGATGTGTTAATGAACTGAAAGATTTAATTTGGATAGGTTAATAAGAAGACACAGCTTATCAAGATTATGTGATATATTAGCGCAATACATTTCAAACAATCTGATCACACATATACTGTTTCAAAACATTTATATATAACAATAAAACTGTCAACCAGACGAATGGAGGTTAATAGGAGTCAAAGACGATAAAATAAATATGAAAAAGCGATTTGAAAACTCATCACTCTGAATAATATGCTAACATTACCAGGGTAGGTTTAGGTTGATAACAAACTAATTTTAAATACATGAAGGGGGTTTGAATTTTCCTATGGTTAAGGCTCCAATAAACCTTAGCATACGCTGTTTAACGCTTTTGTACAACATCACAAACTCTGTGTTAAGATCAATCTAATAACCTCTTTCAACTAAATATTAGGCAATAGAAGATGATGGATGTTTATCATCTACTCTTATGGGATCAATTGATTTTATTTGTTTCCGCAACCATTTAGGCACATGTTCAGATACCCTAATTTACAGTTCATGATTACGCCTCCCTGTTTGTGTGTGACCACATGCACACATACACACATTTAAATTGATAAAAACAGTGGGGCATGACCCAATGGCTTTCATTTCTTCTAGGTTTTGGTGAAGCATGGACGTTGTTTCTTCCCTGATAATGACCTTTCATGTATAGCACGTTTTGTTAAGAACTGATTTAATCCTTTGTTTCAATAAAAGGATATTTAAATCACCTCTAACCGGTAAGGTGATGTAGACATGCATTTTTGTGCCACGGCTATAATAGGCCTCACTATACCACCACCTTCCCATCTAGTTATGAATTTTAACGGATAACCATTTTTCATTGGTGTTTTGTTCAACAGCCTAACGTCGTCATCAATATCGTCCTTTGTGTGAATACTATTAATCCTGTTAAATGGGCCTCTTATCAAACCCCGTTTGTATTGCACTGAGCAGTAACTATAATAACTAAGATATTGGCCTGTCCAATTTGGCTTTCTAAAACTGGATCGTTCGATTGAACCGTCTTCTCGTCTACTTATAAGTATATCTGAGAAAGGAAGCTGGTCGTTCTTCTCCTCTTCGCATAAAAGACTGATGCAGTTTTGATGAAAGTTCAGTTTATTCAATAAACAATTGATATCGTCCTCTCATTCACAGATAATTATGATACCATCCACGTATCTCTTATAAAGGAACACGAATTCGACTAGGTCTTCAGCCACATTTACAGTATATGCCATGAACACATCTGCTGATAAACAATCTAGACGGTCGGGTGAAGTGGAGTAGATGGAGAATGACTAACAATGGAATGTAGGATGGACATCGGCTGAATGTAGCTTCATTCCAGAATTGATGTTCATCCGCAGGTCAAACCTCTTACCGTTCGCTTAAGACATCAACCACTCAGTTATTAAGTCAACAATTCCACTCACCTATGCAACCGTGTGAGATTAAATTCGATTTGAAATGGTTCGGATTATCCTGTTGTTGATATTTTGGTTGAAATTTGATCAGTCTTGGTCGGTATATGGTTATCTTGTGTAGATTGCCTCCACCAAACTGACGAGTCCTAAGTTGAACGAAATGCGTGTCCTGAATTCCACTACTAGTCACATTTCACCTATCCTATATTAGTTTGTGTCATAATGGCTATATCGAGGCAATCCTCACACAATGTATATGTGTCAACCAAGACTGGTCAAATTACAGCCTAAAATACCAACAACCTGATAATCCAAACTAACGCAAATCGCACTATTCAGTAAATTGATATGTACATTTTCCTTTACTTATGAGGTCACGACAGTGAGGCATGGCACTCACTTGTCTACTAACACAACGTACTTCTCAATACTTCGAAACATCACAGAAACTAACGTCCGTTCATCACACAATACAAAACGTATATGGAAAACACTATTTAGAATGAATAGGTTTTATTCATCTCGAATTCAAACACGACTATATTACAGTGAGTTGAATTGAGAGGTGTGTAAAAAAAATAGGACAGTGGAGAGTGTGACACAAACAAATTAGAATCATCCACAACTCAACTGGTGCCTCAGTAACTGCTTCCATAATGGTTGGGTTTGTAAGCGCCACCTTTGCCGCCTTTGCCACCTTTGCCACCACCCTTACCCTTACCGCTACCACCTCCATAAACCTTTCCATAATTGTTGCCTTTACTACCACCTTTTCCATAGCCGTTGCCACCGTTACCATAATCACCGCCATAGGGAGCAGGGAAGGCATCATCGTAGCCACCTCCACAATTGCCACCACTGCAACCACCACCATAGCCACCACCGTAATTACCACAATCTCCACCATTGCAATCACCACCATAGCCACCACCGTAATTACCACAATCTCCACCACTGCAACCTCCACCATAGCCGCCACCATAGCCACCACCATAGCCACCGCCACATTCACTGCCAGTACAGCCTCCACCATATCCACTATCGCCATAACCGCTATCACAATCGCTACCATAGCAACCGCCACCGTACCCACCCGAATAGTCACGTGATGTGGTGTGGGCGGTGGCGTAACCAATGGCTACTAAGAAGACGAGTGTGAGTGACTGTTTCATTTTCCAAATTGTTGGTGTTGTTGCACTGGGTGTGATGATATGTAGACTAGTGTGATTTATCATTTATATATTGTTTTTGATTATAGATTTGAAGAGTTGTGCCTCACTAAGTGCATCATTATTCAATACATATTACGCTTGTGCACTCTACTGTTGAACTGCCTTTTGTGTAATCGTTAATGATAGTTGAGCGTGGTAGTTAAAATTTATAATGAAACAGTACATACATTTTACAATCAATATCCTTGATGAAACTTCAATCTTTCTTCCTTTATCTACATAAGTTCAACGCATTTATTTGATCCACTTATCATTAATCTAAATTTTATGCTGACTTATAACTTCACTAACGTGTATTTGAAGGTTTTTTTACAGCAGCTAGCAATATGAATCTAGGATAAGTGTTTCATTTTGAATGGGACTCATCAGTTGTACACACTTAAATTGATAGTAATGACTGAATGTTGACCAGTGTATCATGAGGTAAATGCACCGATTTTATCATTTATTTGCAAGCTTTTATTAAATTTGGATAATGACAGGTAGTAGTATTAAGTCCTTGAGTTCCATGTTAATCATTTGTAGTCCTTAACATTCATAACAAGAAAGCATGACGAATTTTTTATTTTATCTTTAACAAATTATGCAAGTTATATTGATGGGTTTGCAACGGGATGTAACCTGAAAAACATTATTTCTTATCAATAACCGACAGTTGATTGGATTTGATCTTTATGGTATGATATTCTATATTTCATAATACAATTCTTCTGGTATTCATTTTTCTTAAGACTTTTTGATGGCTATCAAGTTACTCATTATTTATTGTGATTATGAAATCCTAATAATTTATAATGATTATTTATACCCTATATTACAAGACTAGCTTTCAATATGTAATGTGACTTCAGGCAATATCAAGGCAGTTCGCACAAAATGCACATATGCCAACAAGAGACTGATCAATTGCAGTCCTAAATAACAATGAGATGGTGGAGAATAATAACAATGGGAAGATACATGTAAACAACACCATGTGAATCTTAACTATATTTATTGTCACATCTTGTATACACTTCCTCTGATTATTGATTTCCAGTTTCGATTTGATTGAGGTAATGAAAGTGAGTGTTATTAGTCGCTGAGTTTGGACAAACAGTCACTCAGCTTATTGACAAGTAAATGTTTGATCTTTTTCCTATTATTGATTTCTACTCTGAAATCATTGAGAGCGACTGCTTAAAATTATGTATGTGTGTATGTGTAATATCTAGCGTTACACTAGTTCACTATCTTGATCATGAATTAGCTTCGATATAAAGTCATCTGGTCTGTTTACATAGAGAATCGTTTAGGTATCCAATTTAGTGGTCAGTCAGTCAATCAGTCGACAACGTAGGACCAGGAACATTTATGCATCGGTCCGAGTTGCCATACCTCATTAACACAACAAGATGAACACAAAATTCAAAGAAGTAGTTAATTTAGTGGTGGTAGTATATAAGAGATAGGTTGTATATAAGAATATAGTGTAGGAAGGAAGAAAGTTATGAAGCAATTTTAATTTCAAGGTTTAAAGGAAGATAAAGAGTGTATACACCTGCGCCATTGTGATCGACTCTGAGCCATGTCACACAGAGTCTCCAACCATTGATTACAATAGTCACACGGATCCCAACCAAGTAGTCTGCATCTACCAACATGGCTCAGAATAAAAGTTAGTGACTTCAAAAACTGATGCCACGTTTTGGTTTGGCCGCCCCTAACTCTCTTCCAACCATCCCCTACACTAGTCAGCATAACCCGTCCTGGCATACGTATCACGTGGCCTAACCATCTCAGTCGATGAAGATTCATCACCTCATCAACTGATTTACCACAATTTCCTAATACCCTCTGTCTAACCTCACTATTACTTCCCCGATGATCTCAGCAGATGCGAGCAATATTTCTAAGGCATCTGTGGTCAAATACTAGTAACCTACGAGTATCTTCTACCCTTAATGGCCATGTTTCACAGCCGTAAAGTAGAACAGAACGAACTGCTGTGCAGTATACTCGTCCCTTAATCGATAGACGGATATCTCGTTTTAGCCATTGGTGACGTAAGTTGGCAAAAGCCGTACCGAGATTTCGTCAGACACCAACCCATTAAGGCTGATCAGACTTCCAAGATAAGTGAAGTTTTCGACACGCTCGACTACTTCCCTCCCTATCCTTAGTTCATGTGTTGATGCAGGCCAGTCCTGGAGTAACAATTTACATTTAGATGGAGAGAAACGCATCCCAAACATCCTGGCATTATTACTCAGTTCTAACAGAAGACTCTGCATTTTGCCAGCGTCTTCACCAAACAGGACTATGTCATCTGAGTATTCTATGTCGATAAGTGGACACCCTGGTAGGAGATCAATTCAGTGGTATCATAAACCCAGTCACCCAGGTCAGTCTTATTATCATATTAGTGTAGAATTCCGCGGAAAGAATAAGATTTTATGCGCATAGTTCCATGTATCGTTTTAATTCACCACATTTCAAGACACTCAACTGAAATTCACTAACTAAATAGTGTTGAATATTTATCTATTATAGCATTACTCTTTTGTAATTTTATGTTCACTTTACTCTAAAACCTTTATTGCTATTGTTATGGTACAAATTTTTCTTTGGATGAATTAAGCTGTATGAAACAGTAATCGATAGATTACATAACAGTTGTATACTTAATTAATTGATCAGTTAATTAGATGATCTATGTTTGTCTCTTTTTCTCTAGTTATATATAGCATTAATGAATTAAGTTCTATTGGTTTTTGTGTTAATTCAATAAACATAAGTAAAGGTCTAAATGAATATTTGTATGTTGTATTCGTCAGAGACTGATTTCATTTGAGGTACTGGTGAAGGCAAAATAGAACATGTTTTATTCTAGACTGAGTTTTCTCAGCTATGCGACCTCAGAAAGGACTGAGATTAGGATTTTCAGGTCACAGGAGGAACTTTTAACCAATCGTATCATTAATGATACAGCGGTACATTCAATGGTACAATTTCGATCTCAATCAATCTGCGAAATAACACGACAATCATTCAATGTTATAAATGACAAATGTTTAACTCCCAACATGTTCGAACTTCATTACTCATAACTTCTTAATTTAAGTTACTAGTCAGCGGAATGTCACGGTTTGTTTGAAGGAGTTTTATAATATTAAAGATTCCCATTGTGAAAATTAGAACAACACATTTAAGCAAACAATTGTTTCCAGTTAAATCATCATCAGGCTTTACTCTAATACACATGAATATTTGTACGAAAATGTTAGACCAATCAAGGCTATTTGAATTAATAATCACAATGAAATACAATACGTTACCGAGTATTGTAGGTAAAAGTACAAGTTGATAGTGAGAAGGCAGGTGTACTGATAGTAGTAAGAATAGTAAATTATGATAACAAAAGTCTTATCAATAGTTAACCATAAGAAATAAGAGGTCAAACATGGGTAAATAGACTTATAATAGTGATCACAAAACATTGAAATCATTACGTAATAAGAAGTATGTAAGTAAATAGATAGTGAAGAATACAAACGGAAAGAGGAGGAAAATTACAATCAAATGATAACAAAATTAAGATAATAAAAATAAATTTTACAAATAATAATGTCATTTGTTAAGTTATGCCCGGCCATGGAAGGGATAGGGAGGTTACGAATTTCTTCTGTATACATAAATTGGGGTGGAATGTACGAATTCCTATGGCTTCTGCTATATGAAGGAGACGGGAGCGAACTCCGTTGGGAAATGATGGACGTATACGATAGATCACTTGAAATGATTACAATTTATCTACAATTTGACCACTATCAATTAGATGTGCCAAGATAGAACTGCGTATTGTTTTTATTTGGCCCTTCCCAAACCATGCTGATAAATGTTCACTCATTCGTTGGTTAAGCTGCCTAGTAGTACGCCCGATATAGCTATCTCCACAGGAGCAGCTGAACTTATAAATGTACATAGAGGAAGTCAACTCAGGTAACTTATCCTTCGTTTGAGGAGACATCACTGGTCGACTCAAGAAAGTCAATGCAAGATAGGCTGTGTAGAATGTCCTACTAATTACTTTCGTTAACATATCTTTCAGAGTTTCACTAGCTACATCTCCGTTGAATTGTGATTTCATGTATAAAGGTTTCTTTCGAACAGTTGGAATCAACGACTTCTTCCTTGTATCATTCATGTACTTCTTAATGAACGCACTATCAAATTGTACTTTTAACTATTATTCTCGGTGACGTATTCTATTTCGTTGTGATTATTGACTCAAACAGCCTTGATTAGTATAAAATTTTCATATAAATATTCATGTATATTAGAGTAAAGCTTGATGACGATCTAATTGAAGGAGTTTTGTAGAGTTTGGTTGCATTTGTTGGTTATCTTAATCAAAGATTGAGTGCAGTTAAAATAAATAATTTCCGAAAAATTCAATCTGTTGAATAGCTGACTGATATTAAAAATGAATTGCATTGATAGAAATTTCAATGAATGAAAACGTTTGGTATTTTATAGGGTAATATGACTTTGCTTTTTAATTCATTGGACAAGAAAACTCATGAAATCCATAGGAAAGATTATTTTTACTGTAAATAAAAAATTCCCATTACTATTAAAAAAACAAAGATATGTTGTACATCGAGATCATTGACCAATCAATGTTAGGCCACCAATGAAAACCCAAAAGCACTGTATAGCCGTCTCATCTTAGTATCGGACTCCTGAACAGTGAACATCCGCGATCCCACAGGATGGACTGGAACCTAGGACTTTTAGTCTCGTGTTCTAACGTTTAACCACCCAGCCGGTAGGTAACCAACGGTGTTAATGTCTAACTTCAACTAATCTACGAAATTGTGAGACCATCTTCCAGGTTTCGCAATAGTTGGGGCCCGAGTTAGTGCAAGACATTAAGGAGAAAGATTTTATTTGTACAGTTCAATCGCTGAGATTTTTTACAAATACAATTTCATTCTTTAAAAATGATAATGTTAAAAGTC